CCTGGCAGGACCAGGGGAGACTCATGCAAATTAGTCATCTGCCAGGCACACATCTGTCCCCAAATGTGACATCCTCTCCAGGGAGGGGCAGGCACAGGTGTGAGCCCTCCTTCCTTCAGCGGTCACTCTGCCTCACGGTGCACCCTGGCTGGCGGCTGGGAGCTCCTGGCTCCACTCTGCTTCCGTCCTCACCCCGTTCCCCAGAAAGACCCTGCTGTAGGCGAGCCTCATTGTGGCCTGAAGTGCCGCTTTCTGGTGGCTTCACAGGTCTCAGGTCCTGACCATGGTCTTCAGACCCTCCGGGGCCTGGCCCTGCCAGCCCTTCCAGCTTCCAGCCCTGCCTGGCAGGTTCTGAGAGATGAGCTGCCTTCCCCATAGGGAGCCGGTCACACACTTGTCCCTTCCCTCCCTTCAGGCCTTTACTCAAAGGCCCCTCCCTGGTCACTCCAGGTTCCCTTCTCCTCTGTTCTTTGCAGCTCCTTCCCATATCCGGGAGCTGGGAGGCAGCCCTTGTGTTGTTTTGTGGTTTTGTTGTCACCCCTGTATCTCCAGTTTCTGAAAACATCCAGGCAGGGAGCAGTTGGGTGATAGGTGACTACTAACTGCCCCTCCTAAGTCTGTGGCATTGGCTTCTTCCGGACGCTGCAGGAGTTTGTTTTCCCTTTGAACGTAGTCCTCTGTGGTGGTGTTTACCTGCCAGGCCATTTCTGAGAGAAATCTGGCTTTTTTAAAGCCAGAGGAATTACTAGAAGTGGTTCCACAGCTACTTGTTTAGGCAGCGGATACAGGGCCTCTGGGTGACCAGACGCCCGCAGGCTCCTGGGCGCACTGGGAAAGGGCATTCACGGCGCAAGGTCAGGGCCTCCTGACATGGCCCCTCCACCCAGCACACCTTGGGCCCGGCCGCGGCCCCTCCGGAAATCGTGAACTCGCTTCCCCTGGGGAAGCGTCTGCTTGGGGCTAGTTAATCTTCAGGTGGGAGAGCAGGAGTGATTTCATGGGTCAGTCAGCCCTTTAAAAGAATGTCAGGTTTTCCGACAGACTCTTTATGAGAAAAACCCATGTTCTCAGCCGCTATTTTTGTTGTATGAAAACTAATTGATTTTTCTCAAGATTTGGAGTTAGATTGCTTATCCAGTTTTATGAGGAAATTCCATGAGAAGAAAAGCAGGAGCTGTCCCCCCACAGCGCTGGGCAGGAAGCCCGATTCATTCACCCGAGACAGCAGGACTGGGACCCACAGTCATGGCGCCCCCCCTCCTCCCCCGCAGCAGCGTGTAGGGCCCCCCGAAATTCCATGAGAAGAAAAGCAGGAGCTGTCCCCCCACAGCGCTGGGCAGGAAGCCCGATTCATTCACCCGAGACAGCAGGACTGGGACCCACAGTCATGGCGCCCCCCCCTCCTCCCCCGCAGCAGCGTGTCAGGTCCTCCCAGGTCCGGGCCCTCAACTCTGGAGTGTAGTGTCCCAGATAAAACACTGTAAACACCCAGACAGCCGAACAGGGGCTGCTACTGGTTCTGCCACAGAGATTGCTTTCCGGGGCCTTACCCAGATCCCATGGTCTCATCAGCTACTCCCCCAGCGCTGTGGGAGATGCCACCACTCCCCACTTTCCAGGTGGGGAGTTGCCCAAAGAACCCCCCTCATCAGTGGTAGAACCAAGATCTAATCCAGGCCACGTGGCTCAGACAGCCACATGGGGCTGTTTCCAGTTAAATGAATCAAAGTCAAATTCAGTTCCTCTGTCCGCTAGCCATATGGCGAGTGCTCCATAGTCACGTGTGGCACATGGCTTCCGTCAGCTCAGAGACAGGTGTCCATCACAAGAAACCTGAGAGCAGGGGTTCTGGCTGTGGCTGCCCGCTCCTATGGCTCGTTAGAAAGGCCCAAGTGCGGTGGGAACAGGTCGATGACACTGAGCATCCTGTCACCTGCCGAGCCTGCTTGTTTATAGAATAAGCCTTCGGTCTTCACAAGAACACCGCGAGCTCGTTCACCGGCATAATTACCCGTTCCCCTGAGTCACAGTTCAGGAGAAGGTGACACCCTTTCTCGGTGTGACTGTCTCTTAGTTTCCAGAGGAACGAGGTAACCGAGGAAACCCTCCCTGCCCCGTCCAATGGCAGGTTCCTCCTTCCTCTGGTAGCCCTGGCCCCAGGCAATGGCTGTGTCTGCTTCGTGTCTCCGCAGGGTGGGAACGACCATGAGATCTTCACGGACCAGAGGACCATGGGCTACACGGTGATGGCCCCCGAGGACACGCGCAGGATCTGTGAAGAGCTCTTCTCCTAACGCCCCTCTGTGGGAGGGCAGGAAGGCCCAGCTACAAGCCCGAAAGGATCGCCCAGTGGCCAACCCCAGATCCCTCCCTCCCGTGCCCACGGACATTTACAACCATCCAGCCCAGGACAGACATGTAAAAACACTTCCTGAAATGAAGCACCTGCCAGTGTCGGCTTGGTAGGAGCCTTGAGACCAGGGCACTGTGGTCATCAGCAGTACTAAGCTAAGTGACCTCTGAACTCTTGTGTTCCCACCTCACTTCCTGTTTGAGAGCCACAGACCTCAGCGTGGCCTGTGGACGACTGGCCGGGCAAGTGACAGCTGACCCGACGGAGTTTGCACTCCGCTGGCCTGGTTCACAGGTTAGCTCAGATCCCCTACAGTGAGGGGCTGGTTCTCTAACCATCGACTTGGGAGACAATAGTCCCAACAGCCCTTCCCCAGGGGCCGGCTCTGAGCCCAGGTTCAGAGAGACTAACGGGTGTCACCCTTCACCAAAGAACCTTCTGCCTGGGCCTCCCAGGGGCCTGATTTGCCTGGTTTCTCAGGCATCAGGTGAAAGCCACGGTAATTAACAGGGCAGAAGCTGCCCTGTTTCTCTGCAAACCTTTGAATAAATAAGCGCAGGACCCTGGCCCTCAACCCTGATTCCAGCCTTGGGGCTGGGACAGCCTTAGTTGGGCCTGGGCCCTCACCCCTTCCTCCCAGGTTCTGCAGGTTCCTCATGGAACTGGAAGGCCCCCCCCAGGCCCTGGTCCAGAACAGGGCGGAGACGGCTTGCCCAGGCAACGGTTAACGTCGACTCCCAGCCTCTGGAAACGTAGGGACCCACAAGCCCTCCACAGATTGGTACAAGGGCCCCAGGCCGGCTTCAGTCCACAGCGTGACCTCTGCCGGGGCCCCACCAACCTGAATCCATGCGCTTTGCACCCCCCACCTTTCTGCCCCCACCAGGTGCTTTCATCACAGAGGAGCCTGGCTTCCCCCCAGAGCTGTCCCTGAGCTTCTCGGCTCTGGACAGTCTGCCCCCCATCATGCGGTTGACGTTTTTAGCGGTTCCCAGGACATGCCATCGGTGGCATCTTGTCGAAGTGTTTTGCAAATGTACTGTAATGACCTTTCAAAGTGACGAGTAGCAAATTAAAGTGATTGTATTGTTTCCTATTTCTCACTCTGATTATTTTTCATGTCAACCTGTTTGCTCTTCGGTCAAATGGGATACAGTCCCCACCACATAGGTAACTTAATTTCAGGAAAGCCCATTGAATGGTGGGTGTGAGCTATCACTAACTCAGGCAACCCCCCAGCAACCCGGTAAGCAGGACTTAGCCCGACTGTATAGATGAGGATGAGTGAAACCATCCCTCAGCCTCGCAGAGTTCGCAGGATAAAGACCATCCCCAGAGCCCTAAACGCGTGCTAAGTGTTGAGCAAGAGGGAAGCACTGAGGCTGCACCCTGAGCAGCCTGCAGCTGGTAAGAAAGCAGGTCCCGTCCCAGCACCGCAGCCGCATGCCGGTATTCAGCCCTGCACTCAGGTCGCTCGGGGAAAGGCCTATGTGCAGGCGGGGGTGCAGGGCACAGCAGGTGGCTGCGGGAGTCAGGCCTCCAGGAAGGCCTTCCAAGCCTCCTGAGGAGCCTAAGCCTGACCCTGCGAGATCTGCGACAGCTTGGTGGGGAGCAGATGTGGATTCAGGAAGGGCAGGGCGTAGGTGGCTTTGAATCACTTCCTTTCCAAGAACTGCTTCCTCTTCCTCTTCCCCCAAGAAGTGCTCCTTGATCTCAACCCTGCAGGCACCTGGGCCAGGCGGCCAGGCCCCTCCACCTGTCTGCCCTCTGCAGCACCCACTTAGGTTCTGGAGCTCATTCCACCCCCCAGTATCAGCTGGTTCCCAGTATCACCTGCAGCTTTGAGCCAAGGCCTCCCTCATGCCACCTGCGTAACATCCTCTTAGTGTAACATGCCCACAATCTCATGGTTTTGAGCTAAATGCCTACTTTGGCCTCTCCCTAAACAGGTTCAATGGGCTGGTCCTAATTTTTCCTAATACACTTTTTTTGTTTGTTTTTAGAGAGAGAGAAACATCAATTTGTTGTTCCACTTACTGATGCATTCATTGGTTGCGTATATGTGCCCTGACCCAGGATTGAACCCAAAACCTTGGTGTATCGGGATGACGCTCTCACCAACTGAGCCACGCGGCCAGGGCCTTTCCTAATACACTCTGAAAACCAATGTAGCCTTAAAATAAAAATGTTCACCTCTGCACCAACCAAGATCGTTATCCACCTCTCCTGAGAAAGACTGTCCCAGGGCGACCTTCCCAGCCCGACACACGTGAAGACCCTCCTGGAGCGGCCCTGCCTGTCGTCCAGCCCAGCCCCTCACCTCCTCCCGCCCTCCTGGAAGCCAAAAACTCCTTCTCACGGCTCAGCCTCACACAACCAAAGTATAAACACATCCACAGGGAATCTATCCACAAGTGACCAAGTAGCATTTTCTGTTGTCACAAAGCCACGTTCTACTTCCAAGCTTCCTACATTGAGCCTGACAGTTCAGGGAAAAGGTATGATCCCATTTTCTGACTCAACCCCAAAACCAGCTGCGAAGCAGAATGACTCAGCCTGGCGTGGGGAGCCGCCCTTACCCTCTGGCTCGGAGGACAGGACGAGCTTCCTCACAGCCAGCTCCTCGTTAACAAACAACACACAGCCGTGCACAAAACAACCTTTATTGACAGGAAGGTGGGAGGAAAGATTCGGATTTAGGAATCCCGGGTGCAACTCCCATCTCGCTCACCAACACCCCAGTCCTCCAGAGCCCAGAGCAGGTTCTATATGTTGGGACTGAGTGGGAGAGCGTCCCTTCCAGCTCTGGGGACATCGTGCGGCTCTGGAATACCCATTGAAGAGCTGGTCACACAGGAAGGACTGCAGGAGCAATTTGCAAAGGATTCCACACACAGGTCACCTCCGAACAGCAGATCCGATCCCAACCCACTGGCAGGCGGAGTCTGTGGGGTCACACAAAAGATGGGGCTCCTGGCAGAAGTGGCTCCAGAAGTGTGGTCTGTACCCAACAGGCAGCCTCCAGGGGCCACCTGGGCACACCCGAGGCTCGCGGGGAAAAGGCCACCTTGGACCCAGCAGAAGGCGAAGGCAGGAGGCAGAGAGCCGTGCAAGGGGCACGATGGGCCAGGAAAAGGCAGATGGAATCACTATCCGTGGTGTTTCACTGCACACACGTCATCACACACACTTTGTGTTAAAACAACTGCGCCAGCCAGCGGCCAAGCAGTTCGAGCCTCCCACCCCTCCGACGAGGCCGTCCCAGAATGCAGACGACTGGGGGCCAGGACTGCTTCCCGCCCCCAAAGCCCCGTCTTCGGTCTTCGGTCTGGAACACCCTGTCTGCCCAAAGCCAGCTTTAAAGGGTTCACTTTCCACGCTGACAAATGGATTCCCGACTCCACATCAGCCACATATTTCAAACGCATTACCCAGCTAGTTCTACTTAAAAATCCCAACGACAGCCAAACCAAAGCACAGCAAATGCAATCCTAGAGAAGATCTGTTTACTGGAACTAGCTACAAAGGCTCGCCATGTCGGCAGAAAGCGCAAACAGAGCTGGCTCCGGTGAGAGCGGCAGTTACTTAAAAAGAAAAACTCCTCACATTTCTTCACGCCTGTTTTCAAGACAACCCCTTCACTCAACGTGTATTTCTCCAGCGTCTGACTTTCCCAGGCTGTCAGAAAGCAAGCTACTTACTCTTTTCTGGAAGGATCAGGAGAAAGGTCTGTTTTAAAACAAACACCCTCCCCTCTACGCTCCCTCCTCCCTCCCCATCCACCACCTAAATAACAGGGAGGGGATGTGCAATGGCTGCTGGGACCTAATCACTCAGCTTGAAGGCAGCTGGAGAAGACCAGGCTTCTAAGGGTTAGAATTCAGCTCTCAGCACGGCTTTCCCAGGTGGAGGGCTAAGGGCTCCTGGGAAAACTTTTCCTGACCCCCAGCTGTGACACCTCTCGCTGCAAAGGCACCTAAGACCCTCCCACTCCTCCCACCCCTGCCCCCTGAAGCCAGCTCCCCTGGAACCAACCAAGCCTAGAATCAAAAAGCCTGCTCTGCCCAGGGCCAGGGAGACACAAGAAGGGGGTGCTACGGTGGGAATTCATGCTGGGGAAACACACAGAATCCAAGTATGTCACCACCCGGCCGAGTTCTGAGCCTCCCACCCCAGGGGGATGGGGATGAGGGACTCCATGGGCTGGAGAAATACCACCTGACCCACCCCCTGGGCGAGGGCCGCACCCTCTACACCAGCCGGGGCCTCTCCTTGTTCAATGCTTTTAATACTTTTCAGATGGTGCAGTTGTTGTGATGGTCAGAGGCTATGCTGGTGGCCCAGACACCCTGTGCCTGCCCCCGACCCGACCCCCTTCCACCAGGAGATACTTGAAAGGGACCACGCTCCCCGCTCTGAAGCCCATCTCGGGCAGGGGAATGTCATCTCCAGTCCGGTCCTGCCCCCTCCTCCCCGCGGTCTCCCACAAGCCCAGGAGAAGGGGCGCTCCTGGCCTCTCCTAGGAGCTGACGACGTGGCCGGACCAGGTCTCGTGCTTGGTGCCCGGCGCCAGGTGGGTGATGACCACCTCCACGGCCTGCAGCTTCTCGTGCTTGGGCGGGATGGAACACATCTTGTAGGTGACCTCGTCGCCTTCCACCGGCACGTACTCCCCTTCCACGCTGCGGGGTGGGGAGAAGCACTCAGCGCCCACACTCAGACGAGCAGAGCCGTGGGATGCCACGCCCAGGACACAGCCCCTGCCGGTCACAGGGCCACCCCGGGCTTCTAGGGGAACTGCCCCTCCCACCCTGCTGTCAGAGGGAGCCACCATGCCTCAGTGGTGCCACCTGTCCCAGCCCCCCACTGCCCCAGCCTCTCCCTTCCCTCTCCCTCCGTGCTGCTGCGGAGCCCGCACCCAATCAGCTGCTGCCCTGGGACCTCTGACGCTGAGACAGAGGAGCTCAGCCTGGAGGTGCTCACACTTTACGGTAAGTGTGGGCGACCCGGGGCCTCTTGGACAGAAGAGCAGGGGAGCCAGTCTGAACCAGAGAGAGAAACGAGGTGGCCCTACAGGAGATGAGTGATGCCTGGTGGAGTGATTCCCAGCCACCGGCCTCACGCCCACTGGTCCAGGAGTCCCAGAACCCAGGCTGCACCTGCTCTTCCACGCCCCAGAAATGGTGAGCCTTCCAGAAAGATCCTTTGTGCTTAAAGCCAGTTCGAGGAGGGTCCTCTCCCCTGGGGCCATTCCCTGAAGTCACCATCCGGCCCATAGGGGTGACATGCCCATCTTGCTGCCCCTTTGATGAGACCCCACAAATCACCTTGAGATCCTGAGCGCCAGGGCCAGCTCCCCCAGAACTGGTCTGCCTCGGTTAAAGAATCACAGAGCAAATGGAGCTTCCCTCTTCGACCTGGCGACCAGGGAGCTCAGGATACAGGGGCAGCACTTGCCACAGCAGCACCAGGCACCGCGGGACCTCTGCTTTCTCACCTGCCCCCACCCCCATGTTCCTTACTAACTTATCTTTCCTGATGCCCTGAGCATATCCTTGTAAACCTCCACAAGTCCTTTCTGGAAAGAGGAAATGCACACCCACGTGTGCACTCACATACGTGATGCGATGCTTTAGCATCCTAGGTCTACGCTGTACAGGGGCCCTACTTACTAGTAAGACCTGACGTGTGAGTAGTGGGAGGGGAATAAAGAAAGGGTAATTCTCCCATCACGGCCGACATCTGCAATCGGTTCCTATTTTCAAAAACATGGTTTCTATATACAGGGTGAGGCAAAAGTAGGTTTATAACTCTTCATGTGGAAAATGACACAATAATAAATAATAATACAAGAGTAAACTGTGTTTTGCGCACTCACCACTGTAAACCTACTTTGGCCCCAGCCTGTGCAGAACACAACTTTCCCACAAACTGAAATGAAACATCAGGGGATGCTGAGGCCAAAGGGTGGAGTGGGGTAAGGATGCCAGGTCAGGTCCCCACATAGCTAAAGGCCTGAAGTGGAATGCAGGCTGCAGGCCGCTGGTGCCTGCATGCGTGGGCCCCGCCCTGGGCCCTCCAAAGCCTTCCAGACACTCAGGAAGGAAGGATGTCGTCAGTGAGCAAGTGACTAGAGAAAGGATCCAGCTCCAACTTCCCGGATCAGAAGGGCCAGGCAGGAAACCACCCTGAGGCCAAACACAGGGGCACCCCTCCCCATCCACCAGATACACTGGGGCACTCGGCCCCATCCCACCCCAATGGTTCTGCACGCATGCACGCACGCACGCACGCACACACGCAGACTGTCACCTGCAGCATCACATACACCAGCACCACCAAGTGCCGTCTCACAACCCCACCCCTGAAGACAGTCACACCGGGTCCCACATGCCTGGCCTCACCCCTCACCCCTGCACCCATCATGGTCACATACTCTCCCTGCCACTGAGGAACCAAGACAGGGCCCGCCCAGCCCGCCCAGCCCCACGGACTCACTCGGAGATGTGCAGGAAGATGTCGGGGCCGCCGTCAGCTGGGGTGATGAAGCCGTGGCCCTTGGAGCGACAGAAGCATTTGCACACTCCTTTGTAGATGGGGCCCTGCGAGGCCCTCACCGTCCTGACAGAGGAGGGGGGGAGTGTGAGGGGGCCCCACCAGCCCTTCAGACAGACACCCACTCTCCTGGGGCCCACCCAGCTCATCCCAGCCCTGCCCACAGCTGTGCCCCCGGAGGTCCTGGCACAGCTCTGGGGGCCATTCACACAGAACCCAGTACGAGTGACTCCCGGATGACCCTGGCAATTGTTCTCAGGACTCAGTCCCCCATTGAAAAGAGGGTATTAGACTAAAAGCTGACAGCAAATCAGTAATCAATCCGAGCAGCAGCCTCCACTCACTGGGCCTGAGGTCTGCATCTGCCAGGCACCGTGTGCATCCTCGGCAGCGCCGTGGCAGCCCTGCTCCTGTCCCCATTTTGCAGCTGAGGAAGTTGAGGTCTGACAAGGGAAGAGGCTCCGTGTGGTTAAAGGCCAGCGATTTAAGACCCCAGCGGTCTCGCCCCAGCTCCCGACAGGCTCCGGTGGGCCTGGGGCCGCGCCCTCCAGAGTTTGCAAGGCACTCTCCAGTTCTCGCCCTGACCCCAACCCCACGTCTCCCCCTGTGACAAACAGGGTCACTGAGGCACAGAGATGGCCCCCGGTCTCTGGAAGCCTCCCCCAGCCAGCCCGAGACTCACGCGGAGAAGGTCCTGGTCCGGCGAGTGGGCAGTGGGCTGGGGACCACATTGCTCCGGAGCGGGGATGGTGAGCGGTTGCGGGCCCGCTGGGTGTCGAGCAGCCCGACTGAAGCCTGGTGGGTGGGGGGCTGTGGTGGCGCAGGAGGTTCAGATGACATGGCTGACCTGGAGAGAGAGGGGGGCTCTCAGGGGCTCACACCCACAGGGAGGCTCCAGATGCATCCCCACCCCCACATCAGGGAGTCTGCCATCGGAGACCCATTCCTCTCGCTGTGGAATGCAGGTCCCAGCTCCCTGAGCATGCAGCTCACAGCCACGTCTCACAAACAGTGTCCACAGACACGCTGGCGGGCCCAGCGGGTCAGGCGCCCCCCAGGGTCTGCAGCAGCCCGGCCTCCCTCCGTCACAGCGCTGCTCAGAAAGGCCAGCTGGTAGCCATGACAAGGACGGCATTGGTCCCCTGTGTGTCCTCAGTGCCCAGCACAGACCTGGGGCGGTTAGTAAATACTGTGACAGGAAGGGAGGGGAGGAGCCAGGGAGGGAGGGGGGTTTGGAGACAGGCAGGCAGGCCTTGCTTTATGCCAACCCCTAGATCAGGACTCCAGGCTGAGAAACATTTTCTGGACCCTGCTAAGCGCCAAGGGGAGGAGAGGGGAGAGGCGGGAGGGGGGAGGAGGGAGGAGGAGGAGGCAAAAGAAATAGCTCAGTGTTCATCCAGGAAACTCTGGGACACAAACCAAAGACAGGCTCAGCCACCAAGTCTGGATCCCCGGTGCTATGACAAGCCGGCATCGAGTGCCATCTCGAAGGCAGCATGTCCACCAGCCCCTTACGAAGACCCAGCCGCTCCAAGTGAATTCCCGCCCCGTCTGGATCACCAGGCTGCTAGGACCACTGATTACCTCGGTGATCCCCCAACATGCATCAGGGGTGGGGCCAGCCGCCGGAGGGCTGGGGGAGTGCACTCCACAGGGCTGCCTTGCTCGGGACCTTTTGCCAAGATCCGGAGGTGGCCCGCTGCACCCAAAGAACACCACACGGTGACTACAAAGGCGCCCTCTCTATCGCGGCCTTGGCTCAAGGTCAAGCACAAAGAGCCCAGGCCAGGAGCCAGGGGGCCCGGGTAAGTCCCTTCCCCTCTCGGGGATGAATTTCCCATCTGGGGGGGGCAGCCTGCACGGGCTTCGACTTCGGGAAGGCCACGAGGGAGGCCAGGAGCCTGAGCCCAGACTCGCCCAAGTTCACGAAGAGGGGGGACAGAAGCGGCCCAACGGGCATAAATGCCTCACACGGGGTTTTCAAATTTAAAATGTGAGCTATCTTGTAAACATCTAGGAGTTTGCCTCAAATTCCAGGTTTCCAGCTACTCGTGAGAAAAACTAGCAGCGCTGACAATCTGCTTCCCTCATTTCTCGTAACTATGTGGCCCCAGGGCACCGAGGTTTCAAAGTCACCCAGCAATGTCCCCTCTGTCCCCAACCAAACCGCCAAGCACCCGGCCTGATTCCTCTCCCCCAAAACAAAATCTCTGCCCCCACACTCCCTACCACCACCCCACCACCGCCCACCATCCCTCCCCCAGCAGCTCCGGGCTCTAGCTGGCTGAGAAGGGGCCAGCTGGCCTCTGGAGGACCTGGCATAGCTACCTCCTGACCCTTCTCTCAGCTGCAGCCACGGCCAGGGAGGACCGGGAGTCCGGGGAGCCCCCACCTCAAAAAGGCCCCGGCTGCGAGGCTGGGGGTCAGGGCTCCAGCGTGACCCACCAGCACAGGTCATAGAGTCCTGGAATGTTCCATCGCATGGGGTTCTGGGAAGGGGCCAGCCCAGAGAAGGGAGGGCCCCGCCCCGCCCACACTCAGGCCGCCCAGGGCAGCAGGTGGGACCACAGTAGCTCAGTGACACCAGACTGCGGTGCAGAATGCCCTCCCCACTTCCACCCGTAATCCCCCTCCTTCCCTCTGGGTCAGGCACATCTCACTCCAGACCCCACCACCTGCCAGCTGTGCGATCTTGGGCAAGCTACTGAACCTCTCTGGACCTCCCGTTTCCAAGCCTGGGAGATGGAGATGATGATAGTCCTGACTTCCCAACAGGATCATGGAGATGAAATGAAAAAACACACGCTGAGCGCTCGGCACACCGTCTGCCCCCAACACGTGAGCAATAAGTGTCAGCTATAATTGTTGTATAATTGTCATCATAAGATTATTCAACAAATGTGTGCCCAGTGCCAGGCCCTATTCATGGCACTGGAGACACAGGGCTAAATTTGGAGCCAGAGAATAAACAGGTAAATCAATATATGAACAAGATCATTGCAGATTTCCAAAAGGGCTGGTAAAAATACACAGAGATAAAAAGAACAGGGTGGGGGTGCTTCCCTAACGAGCTTACAAGCTGGATCCTGAACAATACGAGTCAACCATCTGAAAAGCAGGAGGAGGCAGGGGGCGCGGGGAGAGGAGATGCCTGTGCAAAGGTCCTGAGGTTGACAGGGGCCCAGGTATGACTGAGGCCAGCAAAGAGGCTATGAGGTGGCTGCTGGGGATGGAGAAGGTAAGAGACAGGAAGTGGGGTGGAAGGGAGGGCAGGGCCAGGGCAGGAAGCGTTGGGCATCATCAGCATCACCACATGTGTCTGCCTTTCTTCACACCTATTTGTCTGTCTGTCTGTCTCCATTCCCCTTGCCAAGCCCATCTCCACCTGGGTTAATGAAGCAGGCCAAATTGGGCCCCCTTCTCGCTCCACCCCCACCCCCTCAACTCCCCCAGTACACTCAGTCCCTCAGAGGGGCCATCAGAAGCCCCTGGTGGCTTACCTGGTGGGTAAGCAACCTGAGGGCAGCACGGGGCCCCTCTAGGTCTCTGGGGCCCAGCACCGGGGCTGCCACAGATCAGGGTTTTGGAGACAGTCCAGGGAATGGCCCAAGGACTCCTTACCCAGCACCAGACCCGAAGCCCTGGCTGGCGCTGACTGTGCCCTTGGTGTGCTCAGCCCCTTGCACAGCCCGCAGAAGGTGGCCACATTCATGCTCATCTGGCAGAGGAAGAAACTCGGGCACTGAAAGCAGGAGTGACCGGGGAGGGGGAAGGGAAGTGCCGGCCTGGGAGACCCAGGAGCCTTAATCACCACCACCCTGCCCGCCTCTCATGGCCCATCTGAGCTGGAGAGCAGCTGGGGCAGCTGGAGCAGGCCTGGCCAAGGGCCTGGTAGGGAGAAGGAGGAGGAGAGAATGGCCTCTGTGTGGGGGAGGCCTCAGTTTAGGTCAAAGTCCAGCTGTAAGGAAAACAGCTGTGGGAGGGAGTTGCCAGTCACCCAAGAGCCAGCTCTGGGGCCCTGTTGCTCTCCCCCTCCCCCAACACACACACACACACACACACACACACACACACACATACACACAAACACGTGCTCGAGTGTGCATGCAGCAACCCAACCCCAGCCCCCCAACCAGCATAGTCCAGGCTTCCCGCTGGGCAACTGTGGTCCCAGGGGTGGTCTTGGAGCATCCCTGAAGGAGGCAGCCCCACTCCGTGTGACTAGCACCCTCCCCCAGCTCCCTGCAGCTGGGAGGAGTTTGCAAACAGATGCTCAGGCTGGCAAGAGGCTCTAGGCCACACCAGGGGTGGGCCTCTGGCCTGCAGCAAACTCGGACCAAATATCGTGCCCAAGGCATGTCACAGTTGCTGCTCTGTGCACACATGTGTTTGTGTATCTGTGACATGTGTGTATACGTGTGTGCACAGGTATGTGTGCTCACACATGACTCTGGAGCCATCTGTGCCTCTGAACACAGGCATACACGTGTGCCTGCTCTGGCTTATGGCCCAGGCTTGTCACTGCCAGTGTGTGCACACCAGTGGGCCAGGCGGGCCTCAGCCTGCCCCACACACACCGGGTGCTACACTGGCACCGAGGACCTTGACAAATGTTGCCTCCCAGTCAACTAAGTTACTGGGCACCCACCATGTACAGGAATAAAGCTCAAGACAGCAAAATTCCTGCCTCGACAACCACCAGGACAACAAGTACGGAGAACTGGGGCCAGCAGTGCTCTCAGCACTTTGCACATCTCAGCTCATTTCATCCCCATTTCATGGATGGCAAAACTGAGGCCAAAGTATCAACTGACTTGCCCAAGCTCCACATCTAATAAATAAACTGGTGAAACACACAGTACACCCAACAGTGGAAAAGCTATGAAGAAAAAGCAAGCAGAGGCGGAGTGTGGGTGAGGGGCTGTTTTTTAAAGCAGGTGGTCCCAGGTGAGCAGCTGGCCATACTCCCTTTTCCCCAGACAGCACCCCTGGGTTCTGAAGAGTGTCCAGCCAGGAGAGGGAACCCAGGACCTAAAGGTAGGGAAACCAGGAAGCCACTCCCACCCTGTGGGTCCCCAGGGAAAGGTGTGTCACCAGGCCTTTACCCTGGGAAAGGGCGGAGAAGGGGGCCTCAGCCCAAAATAGCCTGGGAATTTTCCACAGGCCATGCAAGTCCTCCTGGAAGGTTCTGAGAATTCCACTGGGCACCAGGCTCCTCCTCAGCCCACAGATCTGGAGGCTGGAGATCCAACCCTGCAGGTCTCCTCTTAACCCCCCACCCCCTCCTGCACTCTCAGCCTAAAAGCCACCAACCACATCAAGCAGTGGCTCGGCCCAGCCCCAGGGCCAAGCCACTGCTGGCAGGTGAGGATGAGTACTAGCCCACACAAAGGGCAGGGGATAGGGCACTGGAGAACCAGGCATGGGGCATGGGGCATGGGGCATGGGGGCAGTGAAGGTGTGATGTCCACCGTTCACTGACTTCTATGTCAGGCTCTGTGCCAGCGTTTATATACATTAACTAGGTTCACCCCCACATCAGCCTCACAGGGCAGGCACTTTTATCATCCCCATTTTACAGATAAGGAAACTAAGGCACAGAGAGGTTTAAGCCAGCTCTCCTCACACTTTAGTCAACTCATGAGTCTCAGGGATGGTGTGAAAGTGCTCGTTCTGATTCTGAAGGCTGGGGACTGAGGCCTGAGAGTCTGCATTTCTAAGGTGCATCCAGGGAGGCAGCTGCTGCTGGACCACGGGAGACGGAGCCCACAGAGCTGGTGGTTAAGGGAAACAGGGTGGTGGGTGGGGGGTGTTGAGGCTCAGTGCACCGGGGATCCTGGTAAACTGAGGCAGGGACACCCTCCCTTCTCTCCCCTCTCCTCCCCACCTCCACCCCAGCTGAGCCCCAGCCTGGCAGAACTGAGGGCCTGCAGGCCTAGCAGGGTGGGTCAGCTGAGGCAGGACAGAGGGGCCCAGGAAGCCAGAGGGCCCACAATGAGCCCTATTCCCCTTCATTGTTCCAAAGAGAGCCTGGTTCTGGGGGAGGGATGGGGAAAGGGCAAAGGGAGGGGGAGGAGGTGAGGGGAGGAAAAGGGAGCAGTGGGTAGGGAGTGAAGGGTAGAGGGAAAGTGTCAAGCTGAAGGATGGGGGAGCTGGGGGACAGGGGGAGGGGGGGAATGAAGGGAGAGTCAAGAGGATGTGGCAACAAGAGAAAATCACAAACAGGGCAGGAGGGTGTAGCCCCAGCCCCAGTGTTAGGGGCTGGATGAGAACAGCTGAGACCCATCCCAGGCTGAGCCCAGCTGGCCTGCGCCTGCCCCCTGGGGCCTGAGTGCTGGGAAGAGGTCTCACATCCCGGGACCAGTGTGCTCACAGAGATGGTCACCCAGAGCCCTGACCACCTGGGACCTGGCCCAGCCCAGCTCAACCCCGACAGCCCTTCTGGGAGAGCCCAAGCCCTTGCTGGTAACTGAAGCCCCTCCGCACCCCGCACCCCGCACCCCGCTGCACGCCCTGGGGAGTTCCATCCTTGCCGCTGGGCCCTGGCAGCAGACTGGCTTCCGCCCGCTCTGCTCTTCATGCCCTCTGTGACCCTGGCAAGTGACCTCACGGCTCCACGCCTCAGCTTCATCACCTGTCGAATGGGACAGTAACAGTGGAGCCTCCCAGGCCTAGGGACCTGGTGCAGGACAACTACAATGGGCTGGGTCAACAACAGCCGAGCTGCTCCTGGTGGAACTGTCAGGCACGGGGCCATCTGGAAGGATCCCTCCCATTCCGGTCCCTGCTGGCCGGACACAAACCAAGTGCCTGACTTTGCCATCAGTGGGACAAAGAAAACCGGTCCCCTCCCAAGGGAACCCTCCTTCAACATCACCCCCAGACCCCAGGAACCCCGCTGGATTTGCTGGGGGAGCGGGGGCAAACAGGCCAGCACTGAGAACCTGAAGTCATCAGGGGCTCCGGGGAGAGGGGAGCAGCAGGGGTGGGGAGGCCCTGGCCTGGAGGAGGGGCAGGGTCACTTCAGGAGTGGGGAAGTCAGTCCCGGCAGAGGGATCTGCAGGGGCAAAGGCCCAGAGGGAGGGGTGCAGGCACGGAGAGAAGTGGGGAGGCTCCAGGTGGAAGACAGCAGGAAGCTTGCTGAGAAGTTTGGCACTCGATGACAATGGGCACAGCAGTGGACCATTTTAAGCCTGGGGTTGATTTAAACCAATTATTCTTACAAGTTTCTCCTGGCGAACGGATTGGAGGGGCAAGACTGGGGGCTAAGAGACTGAGAAATATCAACATAGCAAATAAAAAACGTTACAGTCGCTAACCTTTCTCCGGGCACTGGGTTAGCATCTTTTACTCTCACACATTGCCTTAAGGTAGAAAAAATTACATCCCCAGTCTATGGAAGGGGAAACTGAGGCTCCCAGAGGCCCCAGTTTGTAATGCCAGCGCACGCACGCAAACGACGGGAGGCTCCCCTAATCGGAGAAAACAGGTGGCCAGGCGGGAAGTGCTGCCCGCCGTCGGCTCCCCGTCCCTCCAGCCGCTGCCACACCCACCCTTCCCCCGGGAGGAGTAACTCGCTCGCCCCAAACAGGCCTCGGCGACCCGAGGTTTCCTAGGAGCCCGGAGTCCCAGCCCGGAGCCCCCTGCCGGCGAGCTCGGAGACCCTGCACCG